TTGCGTAGCGGTTTATATCTACCTGATGCGAGATAGATTGCACTCATCAACTTTTAGTGGACTAACTGATATCAATAGTATTCTATGATCATTTTGATCTTGTAATTGCAGTTGAAGGTAGGTTGTAATTGTATTTTTGTGATTACATCTTAAAAAGCTCGTTGTGAAATGGGTTTATGGACTATCAACACAATTCTTTTGGCCATATGAGCAAATTATGTGAATGACTGCATAAGAAAAATATTGGTTTTGTAGTTCTTTGATCTTATATGTATAGGCCAAAGATGCATAGGGTATATTGCTTTGAAGTGGAAATTCATTGTGCGTTTTATCTATAATTTTGTAGGTTGCCATGTTTGTTGGTGTTGTTGATACATCTGCAACTGAAACAAAAGGAACAGTCCTTATTCATAGTGCCGAGCAGGTTCATTCTTGATGAAGAAATTGTTGGGTTGATCCCTTGTCTACATTCTACCATATGCTTTCTGTACTTTACTATTTCTGATGTCTTCCTTAGATAATCATGCCTAATTCTTTTTACTTTTGGTGGTGGTAGGGGTGTTGTGTGTGAACCTCAAAGTGCTTCTTTTCTTAAAATGTGCAAAATTGTCTCAATACTTAATTAACTTGTTTCCTACTTATTCAAAGCTAATAATCGAAAAAGCTAGAAGTGTTGACAAACGGCTTATCATCTTGAAAGTGATAGTTTAGTTGATAACTTGGAGTTTGGCTGCCTGCTTAGCTTATTGGACTTACTCTTTTGATTGCAATATGTGTTTTTAGTTAACATAGTTGTTGTGAGTCTAGATAGGGTATTTGTGTGTTGAGTTGAGAGTGCTTTATATATATATATTTAGTTTCCCCAAGGTCCTGCCTGGCTTTCGCTAGTATTTGCTTGTTTGTTTGTTTTGGTTTGGCTTAAATGAGTTGTTGTTCACTGTTCTTTGGATTGTCAATGCATGCTTGGATTCAGATATTTTTCTATAGCTTTTTTTTAATAGTTGATGCATACTTGTAGTCAGATATTGTTTGTATAGCTTCTTTCATTATTTGATACTAAATTTTTCTGCCAATCTTCCTCTTGTCATCTTGGAATCCTCCAGCTAGAAAATTATGCAAAAACTGAAGAAGCCAAAGTTGAGGAGCTCATCAAAGCAGTTGCAGACTCAGGTGCCAAGGTTATTGTTAGTGGAGCAGCAGTTGGAGAGATGGCACTGCACTTCTGTGAGCGTTACAAGCATATTGTCCCCTACTTTTTTTTTCTCTGTCATTTCATTTGCTATCATGTTTCTATTGAACCTACGGCCAAAAGCTTTTACCAACAATTGTGGTTTGAATAGTTTCGAAAGATGGTTAATGCTCCATCTTACACAATCATTTTGCCAGTTGGAATGGTCCTTATGGCATGTGTATGATTCTCATTGCTTATATGTAACATATTAGAATCATAGCTAAGGCAACACTATAAGGGTATTGTGTATATTCAGAGACATACAAGATTCTTTTCCTTCTGAAGCAGCAGCTGATTTTTAAGGAACAGTTGCTATTGTAGCTCATTATTTTTTTTTTCTCCACTTTTGTAGTTGATGAAGTGAATAATGTCCCTTAAATAAGCCTCTAGTGATGCATTTACAGGCATCAGCTATCATTCTCACATCCTCTCTTGTATTCCTGTCTGTGTATGTATAATATTTTAAGCGTGTCTGTGTATCCATGTCCATTAGACAATATCATCTACATCTTTTTTATTTTTCATTATTTTATTTTATTTTATTTTTTCTGTCGATTTTGTTCTGATCGGTATGCACGATGCAGCGTTGTCATTCCCCACCCAATTTGAAGCCAAGTTCTATACAGTCAATTTCTATTATGTAGTGCTACTACCTTACATATGCTCTTCTGGAGGTTCTCTTAAGCCTATTTTACTAATCTGATTCACAACAAATTTATTCACTGACTTATGGTCTTAAAAATTAGTTCCAAATTTGAACTGCGACGATTTTGCCGTACAACTGGTGCTGTTGCTCTTGTAAGCATACTAGCACATTTGCATTTCATTTGGTGCAAAAATTTATTTGACCACTTTCTCATGTTCTTATTAATTTTGGAAACAGTTGAAGCTTGGTACACCAAATCCAGATGATTTGGGGTACGTTGATTCTGTGTCTGTGGAGGAAATTGGCGGTGGTAGGGTATGATCAAGCTGTTTTTGGTTTTAATTTTGTTGGGCTTTTTCCTCATGTTTCTTCATCTTCTTCTTCCCCAACATGATCTTTATATCTAATAAATAATAGGTCACTGTTGTGAGAAATGAAGAAGGTGGAAACTCTGTATGCGCTGTGGTCCTACGAGGAAGTACCGATAGCATATTGGATGACCTTGAAAGAGCAGTTGACGAGGAAGTACCGATAGCATATTGTGTGTACACCTGAAGTATTTGTCCAAAGTATTTTGAAGCTGAGGCAAGCTCGGACTTGTGCTGGCCTTTAACACTAATATACCCTGCCTGAGTTCTTCTGAAAATACATGGCAGGAAACGCGGGCTCACTGTTACTTAGATGAGGGATCGGTATGCATGCCATGCTAAAACTTTGACTCATTTTATGTGATTCAAACTATTTTGCTGTTTACAGGTTTTTTGCTCTCAAATATGCTGCAGATGCTGCTTGCACTGTGCTACGTGGTGATCAGGTAAGCATTAGCTATCGGTTTCATGGTTTACTTTCTTCTGAGATACCTACCTTTGATATTGACTATTGATCCCTCTTCTCTGGTTGTTCAATTCATCCTTCTTAATGATTAATTTTGAGGGTATAACGTTTATTAAATGCAACGCGTGTATTGATGGGATTTTATTTGGGGCCATTAAAAGGAACAAATCAAACTTGTTCAGAATCAAAGAACTAGAACTCAGAGGCTCCTTTTGAACAAACTTGTTCAAATCACAATGTAGTAATTTAGGTCATCAATATAATACTGAGTTGGTGAAGAGAATAAATTCTTTTGATTTGCACTGAACAATAGGTGAAGTACCTATGATCCCTAGAGGGAAGAAATATTTTTTTCGTGATGGACAATAAGTTCATTGATTATCATTCAAAGACTATAGGATTTGGAGTACGCAAAATATGAGAAAAACTACAAGGGCATTGTAAACTTGAGAATGTTGTAGCCACTTGTAAAATTTGTCCCAATAATACATAAATGAAGGGTGTTCATCTTGGCAACGGCCGTTATTATTTTCGGCTTTTGGGAGGGGAGACCTCTAGCAAGAGAATAAAGAGAAATAAATTAATGAATTTAAATAAATATGCAATTAACGAATATGCACTGACAGGAGATGACAAAAATTTAAGCAGAAATTTAAGACACTGGGAAATGGGGAAAATATTTACGCAAAGATGGAGATGCACCTTTTGCTGTGGTTTTGTTGCACAGAAAAAGATGCACCCCCATGTGTTTTTTGTTTTTCACATTGACTTGTATTTTTCCCAAAATTTAATTAGGTGCGTCGCACTGAAAATGATTTGAAATGTGGTAAAATCTTAAATCAACTGCTAAAAATGATTTGGGCACTGTGGTAAAATCTCCAGTAGGGTGAGATCCAGTGCCAATACAGATTCACCCATGTGATCCACTTAGTGTTGAGAGGAAATTGGTTGAAATGTGATTTTGATGCTTGCTAGTGTTAAAAAGCAGAACTGCTGTTCCAAAACTTTTTATTTTGTTTGTTGGTGGGAGGGGGGGAGTTTGGTTTGACAGACGAAAAATCAAAAGGTTACTTGGAGCTGTCACCAAATACGGAAATGATTTTGTCCCGTGATTTTTAGTCTATTATTGGAGCTTATTGTTTTGACAATATCTTTTTTCATCTTTTGGAAGTGTAATGTCAACCCATGCAGTCCACCCAGTGTCATTTCTTTTATTAAATCATGCCTTGACTTTTATATACTGCAGATTATAATGGCAAAACCAGCGTGTGGACCAAGGAGGGAGCAGCCTGCTGAGGGATGGATGAGGACTAAGGTTTTGTATGAGCTGGCGCAAGTGACTGTAATGATCATGCTTGGGCTATGTTTTTGTTCTTTTGCATGCCAAAGACTCGGCCTAAGAAATTTTTGTTTAAAATGACATAGATTGCTGTTCCTTCTTGTATAATTTGTATTTTTTTTGCTTTCGATTTTTTTTTTTTTTTTGGTTTTCGATTTTTTTTTTTTTTTTTGGTGAAGTTTGTTTATGGGGCTGATCCTAATTTTTCTTGCTTTAGTGCTGTGGTGCTGAACGTAGAACTGATACCGGGTATACCACTTGGCATAAGCATTTAAATTGTTTGGTTGATTTCCTATTACTCTGGGCGGATTTGATCTTTTCAATTTTTTCTCAGCCAGTGGATGAATTTCTCTTTTCAAACAGAAATTGTAACAACTATAGTATTGTTTGTGTACTCTCACTACTAGCTCTGTTTCAACGCACAAATTTCAGGTATCACCTTCACAGATGTTGGCTGAGAGCCCAAGTAACATTGAACCAAATAGCATGGAGAGAAAGAAGACATGCGTGCATTTAACCTTTTTCATAGGCATTTCCTCGATCAATTGATAAGCATTGGCCTAACAGCATCAATGAATAAACACTCACCTTCACACATTACTGGCGTATGCCCATTTTGCTGAAGCATTAGTACTACTGGTATGATTGGTATCTCTACAATTTTATTCTTTGGCAAAATTGTCAGTCCACAAGCATATCTGCTAGCCCCCTTTTCAAACTGCCCGTCACCCCATACCAGCCACCAACATCTCTCTTTTCTCTTTATATACTCTGTTTCCCCTCCAACGGACTATCTCCGCCACGATTGCCAACGTCACCACCACGACTGCCAACATCACCACCCACAATCTACTTCTAGTTCTATAAGTCATATTTTGCCACCATCAGCCACATCCGTACTCCTGTCCACCTCTCCCCTTTTTTTATTTTATTTTTATTTTTCCTCTGTTCTGTTTTCCTATTCTATATTGTATGGTCACACCTCTCTATTTTTCCCTCTCCTTTTTCGGCAGCCATTATGTGAGAGTTGTGTTACAGTTATGATGGGGTTCATCGGTGTGTTATAATTCAGTGATGGTGGATTTTGGTGGTAACAGTTATGCTATGCACTATTAGTGATTTAAGAATGATAGTTTTACCATCGTTCAATATGAGAGAGAGAGAGAGAGAGAGAGAGAGAGAGAGAGAGAGAGAGAACTAAGAAGAATTATTCCCATCTCTCAATTTGGTCATGACTACTAGATCTGTAGTGAAAATATGTGATGGCTCATAGAGGGAGTAGTAACTTGAAGTCTCATTCACTTTAAGAGTGTTGGGTAAAAGAGAATGATAATAAAGAATAAAAATTAGATATTTGATTATTGGTACAAGAGTTATTAAGGGATATTTGTTTATTTGTATTAGGAAAAGTTAAATTTTTCAATGTTTTTTTTAAAAAAAAAATTTAAGGGCATTTTAAGTCATTATAGTTTAAAATTTGTCATTTAAGACTAGGGGTTTACTTATTTAGTATACTTTTTGATTTTTTACAAAAAAATATGCAAAAAAGTAGAGAAATTATGTGATCTAAATAAGTGTATTTATCTAATAAATAAGCTTTATTTAGGTCATTCCAAAATTAGCGAATGGAGGTGATTTTATATTAGGGAAAATTACCAACACCCCCTATCGAGATTTGACTAAAATATAGATTCCCCCTGAGGTTTGGAAAATTACATCCCGCTCCCTAAGGTTTATATTTGCATAACAAATTGTCTCCTTATTTGTTATGTAAATATAAACCTTAGGGGGCAATTTGTAATTTCCCAAACTTCAGGAGAATCCTCTCTCGGCCTTTCCTTCTTGTTGTCTTATCCACTTCTTTCTTGATCGTCCTCATGATAAGAAATGATAGATTGAAGGAGTTAACTCATACTGATATTCCAGCAATTGTGGGCCACCTGCATATCCAAAACCTAATCGAACGGGAAGGGAAGGCTAATGTCAACCTGGTATGGGAATTCTTTGGTAGCATACAAAAGCCAACTGATACAGAGAACTTGATTCTGAAAACAAAACAGAGGGGGAAAGATGTGGTGTTTTCTGCGGATTGCATATCAAAATGACAGAATGTTATTCAGACTCGTAAGTTGGGATTTAGACCCGAATATGCCCAAAACTTACTCAAAAAATGTCGTTTCGGGGCCGAAAATTCAAAATAGCCCCCGAACCGCCTTGTGGCTCTCACGGCAGCTTCCCCATGGAAAATAGGACTTCTGACAACTGACGGAATGTAATTCCGACCCGTAGGTTGGGATTTAGAGCCGAATACGCCCAAAACTTATTCGAAAAAAGCGTTTCGGGGGCGAAAATTGAAAACAGCCCCCGAACCACCGTGTGACTCTCACGAGCAGCTTCCCCATGACAAGTAAGACTTGTCAAACCTAAAGGAATGTAATTCGAACCCATAGATTGGGATTTACAGCCGAACACGCCCAAAACTTAGTCTAAAAAGGGCGTTTCAGGGCCGAAAATTCAAAATAGCCCCCGAACCGCCATGTGGCTCTCACGGGCAGCTTCCCCATGACAAATAAGACTTGTCAAACCTAA